TTGGCTTCCCCGAAATCTCTATCCGAACTTCTCTGAAATGTCCACATTTGTGCTAACAGCACTTTGAGAATAGGAGACACGTTAAACATTGATTAAACAATGTTCTGTACATCAGTGTATGTAAACTACCCGCACAGCCGTTCCTTTCTACCCCACAGGAAACAGTTTCCGCATTCGTGATTTCATTACGTCTTTTCTTGTGCCACAGAGCAGATTTTGTGCTGTCATGTTCAAGAGAGAGAGAGAGAGAGAGAGAGAGAGAGAGAGAGAGAGAGAGAGAGAGAGAGAGAGAGAGAGAGAGAGAGAGAGAGAGAGAGAGAGAGAGAGAGAGAGAGAGAGAGAGAGAGAGAGGGTACAGTTTCTAGAAAACGAGACAGGAACAGACCTTAGCGAAAGTGGACACAAGACATTACCAATTTATTGGCGTTGAAGCACGTAGGGCTTGACAATAAAAGGCTAGAGAAAGAGAGACTTTCAGGGTTGATGACTGAAGATGAGAATAATACGTTATGTTACTTTATCATTATCAACATTACTGCACATTTTGCATCCGCATGAGAGCTCAGATCCCTTTTACGGCGGTCACCTCAAGGCACTCCTGCCGATAGCTTCCTTTAGAAGTCGGTTATAATATGCCCTATTGTGACCCGAAAGACGGCATTTCCGTGCTTGCCTAGGATTCACTCCCACGTCACGAAATCATATTAGCATCAGAGACTCGTCATTATACACTAACACAGTTAAAGCAACCCCCCCCCCCCCCCCAACCCCTAACATACATACATCAATCTAAGCCTCTTGCTGTTTTTCAATAACTTTTTGCACACTATTACCCAATATTTCACTAATTGTTTTACTTATGTAACTGGGAAATAAATTCCTTTATAGTGTGACCAAATTAATAATAACCATTTTTCTTAACTGGACAATAAATGTTTAATGCCTTCTCTCCCAGTGACCAAGAAAATGTTACGTTGCTAGCTGTACATTCCATCACCTGGGCTGACAAGGTGACAGAACATTACCTGTACATTTCTATTTCAAGCTATCTCTGTGTGAGTAAGTAAATGTGATTTTTTCTTCAACGACCAAGAGACTGTTTACATGTTACCTGTACATATCCTCTCCTGGACTGACCAAGTGGTTAGTTCGTGGAGCGTTGGTCCGAGGATAAATGGCTATCTTGCCTTCCCCCGTCTTCTTGCCAGTGTCCACGTCATTGGTCGGCAAGCTGAACGCCTCCAGATGGAGGTAGACGTCGTGGTTTCTGTCGTTCTTGCAGAACCCTGTACCAATGTCAACAGACGTGTCAGCGACAAAACCATGATAGCTAAGCTTCTGTGCATTGTTACTATTAAACTGTAAATATGTGAATGTTCTGAGATAATTAGGACACATTCTCGTTTTTCCAGACTTCTTCTTTTTCGTTAATTTCTCCTTGCTTATGTTTTTTTTTTAAAGGTGTGAAAGCCACATGCCTCTATAAAGGATATGGTGAGACCCATGTTTTCAACGGGAATGCGATCGGGCCACACCTGAGATCTCTTTAGTGCACGAAGACAGCATGTCTACAGCCTGTGTCCAGCATGTCTACAGCATGTCTACAGCATGTCTACAGCATGTGTCCAGCATGTCTACAGCGTGTGTCCAGCATGTCTACAGCATGTCTACAGCACGTCTACAGCATGTGTCCAGCATGTCTACAGCATGTGTCCAGCTTGTCTACAGCGTGTGTCCAGCATGTCTACAGCACGTGTCCAGCTTGTCTACAGCATGTTTCCAGCATGTCTACAGCATGTCTACAGCACGTCTACAGCGTGTGTCCAGCATGTCTACAGCATGTGTCCAGCATGTCTACAGCGTGTGTCCAGCATGTCTACAGCGTGTGTCCAGCATGTCTACAGCCTGTGTCCAGCATGTCTACAGCCTGTGTCCAGCATGTCTACAGCCTGTGTCCAGTATGTCTACAGCATGTCTACAGCATGTCTACAGCATGTGTCCAGCTTGTCTACAGCATCTGTACAGCATGTGTCCAGCTTGTCTACAGCATGTGTCCAGCTTGTCTACAGCATGTCTACAGCATGTGTCCAGCTTGTCTACAGCGTGTGTCCAGCATGTCTACAGCATGTGTCCAGCATGTCTACAGCGTGTGTCCAGCATGTCTACAGCACGTCTACAGCATGTGTCCAGCATGTCTACAGCATGTGTCCAGCTTGTCTACAGCGTGTATCCAGCTTGTCTACAGCGTGTGTCCAGCATGTCTACAGCACGTCTACAGCATGTTTCCAGCTTGTCTACAGCGTGTGTCCAGCTTGTCTACAGCGTGTGTCCAGCATGTCTACAGCATGTGTCCAGCTTGTCTACAGCATGTGTCCAGCATGTCTACAGCATGTGTCCAGCATGTCTACAGCGTGTGTCCAGCACGTCTACAGCGTGTGTCCAGCATGTCTACAGCCTGTGTCCAGCATGTCTACAGCATGTGTCCAGCTTGTCTACAGCGTGTGTCCAGCACGTCTACAGCATGTGTCCAGCTTGTCTACAGCATGTGTCCAGCTTGTCTACAGCATGTGTCCAGCACGTCTACAGCGTGTGTCCAGCTTGTCTACAGCGTGTGTCCAGCATGTCTACAGCATGTGTCCAGCTTGTCTACAGCATGTGTCCAGCATGTCTACAGCATGTGTCCAGCATGTCTACAGCGTGTGTCCAGCACGTCTACAGCGTGTGTCCAGCATGTCTACAGCCTGTGTCCAGCATGTCTACAGCATGTCTACAGCATGTGTCCAGCTTGTCTACAGCGTGTGTCCAGTATGTCTACAGCATGTGTCCAGCTTGTCTACAGCATGTGTCCAGCATGTCTACAGCACGTCTACAGCATGTGTCCAGCTTGTCTACAGCGTGTGTCCAGCATGTCTACAGCATGTGTCCAGCTTGTCTACAGCATGTGTCCAGCATGCCTACAGCACGTCTACAGCATATGTCCAGCTTGTCTACAGCGTGTGTCCAGCATGTCTACAGCATGTGTCCAGCATGTCTACAGCGTGTGTCCAGCACGTCTACAGCATGTGTCCAGCATGTCTACAGCCTGTGTCCAGCATGTCTACAGCATGTGTCCAGCATGTCTACAACATGTGTCCAGCATGTCTACAGCGTGTGTCCAGCATGTCTACAGCATGTGTCCAGCATGTCTACAGCGTGTGTCCAGCATGTCTACAGCATGTGTCCAGCATGTCTACAGCATGTGTCCAGCATGTCTACAGCATGTGTCCAGCATGTGTCCAGCATGTCTACAGCGTGTGTCCAGCATGTCTACAGCGTGTGTCCAGCATGTCTACAGCATGTGTCCAGCCTGTCTACAGCATGTGTCCAGCATGTCTACAGCGTGTGTCCAGCATGTCTACAGCATGTGTCCAGCATGTCTACAGCGTGTGTCCAGCATGTCTACAGCATGTGTCCAGCATGTCTACAGCGTGTGTCCAGCATGTCTACAGCATGTGTCAAGCATGTCTACAGCGTGTGTCCAGCATGTCTACAGCATGTGTCCAGCATGTCTACAGCATGTGTCCAGCATGTCTACAGCATGTGTCCAGCATGTCTACAGCGTGTGTCCAGCATGTGTCAAGCATGTCTACAGCATGTGTCCAGCATGTGTCAAGCATGTCTACAGCATGTGTCCAGCATGTCTACAGCATGTGTCCAGCATGTCTACAGCATGTGTCCAGCATGTCTACAGCGTGTGTCCAGCATGTCTACAGCAAGTCTCCAGTAATCTGTGGCACCTGTTCACATGGCAAATGTTCACAGTTCCCAATTGCCAATGTCTTGTCTATGGGGAAAACGCCAATATGCGAAAACAGAGCCCTGCTTTTCTGAACAGACAGCTTCTGTAGCATAAATTGTTTCAAACGCTTTGGCATTACTCTTTATTTCTTTGAGGCAAACAAGTCAGGCCGCCAGAGGGATCATACTGCATTAGCAATACATTGTCTCAACAATATTGCTAAGGCTTGGTGCTAGGGGGAGGAGTAACTTCATACCTAGCTTTGACTGGTTGCAGTTCTCTTGCCTCTAGGTAAAACAATATAACACTATCGTTGGGAAGGACGGAAAACAAAGGTGCCAACAGAAACAATGCAACTAATGCTGAGCAGTAAAAAGGAGCGGCACAAACCATGGCTACGAAGCTCAGCGAAGGGAAAGGAAAGACGCACACACAACAATGGAACATTTCAAGCAAAGCCTCTAAAAGACAATAAAACAACTGTGCCCTCAGGGAGCCGAAAGTTAAACAAAAAAATTAAGGCAGTACTAAATAAACGAAGAAAGCAGCCAGCCAACCAGCCAACCATCTAGCAACCATCTAGCAACCAACTAGCCAGCTAATCAGTCAACCATCCTTAGAAAAAAGCCAACCAGCCACTCAACCAACCATATTTACAAATAACTAACCAGTTAACCATCTCTACAACCCACCAGTCAACTAGCTACACAACCAACCAGCCAACCAGCTACACAACAAACCAGCTACACAGCCAACCAGCCAACCAGCTACACAACAAACCAGCTACACAGCCAACCAGCCAAACAGCTACACAACCAACCAGCTACACCGCCAACTAGCCAACCAGCTACACAGCCAACCAGACACACCGCCAACTAGCCAACCAGCTACACAACCAACCAGCCATCAAGCTACACAACCAACCAGCCAACCAACCTATCAGCCACAGAAAGAAAAATTCGACCTTACTCTCCGATCCAAAAACTTAAAAAACTAATTGACTCACAAACAAACAAGAAGTTTATGACCCCTCCCACCCCCCCCCCCCCAACCACCCCACACACCACACACACACACTCATACACACAAACACACACATATCTGCAGGTAGTCTAAAGGTAAATTTCTGGTTTTCAAAAACAAACATGCACACATAAGGATACCTGCAGGTAGTCGAAAGGTAAATTTCTGGTTTTCAAAAACAAACATGCACACATAAAGATACCTGCAGGTAGTCGAAAGGTAAATTTCTGGTTTTCAAAAACAAACATGCACACATAAAGATACCTGCAGGTAGTCGAAAGGTAAATTTCTTGTCCTCAAAAACACACAACTCGGGCTCATTCTCCGTGCCCTTCTGTGTGACCACACTCGTCAGCGCCTCGTAGTCTCTGGTGAAAGTCTCGTCTGGCCACTTTCTTAGCAGAACCTACAGACATAACAACGTTTTGGAGCAGACTTCACTTCTGATACACGCTTTAGAAACTCTTTTTGTTGAGCTCTTTACAAAACAAACACCAGAGAAGTCCGAGCAGTGTGGGTCCGTGGGCAAACTACTGTGCTGGGGCCCCCATAACAACCACTTCCTGGAATTACATTTTATATTTATTGCAAGTTACTTGACACACACAGAATCGCACGTGACCCCTGTCCTCGTGTCTTAGCCCTTTCAAAGATATCTTACTGTTTGTTGTTGTTGTTGTTTTTGTTCCAGTCTGTGACAAATAATTGTTATGTTAACCCAACTATTTTAGAGCCGAACATCTGGAAGGATGACGAGAGGAATGATTTAGACAAAACCTGCAAAACGATAAACAGATCAATCACCCGAGCCACGAGAGAAGCGCAGGATAAATACAGAAAACCACGACACTGGGCTACAACCTGGCATACTGGAGACGACAAAAAGAAAAAGAAAGAACCCATCTATTCACACATTGTTTGTTTAATGTCTTCTGTCTTCTAGCGTTTCTTGTTTATGCCCTCAAACTCAAACATTCAGCATTGTCAAGTGCAAAGCCTTGGGCATCAAGGAGTTAACGTTAACAATTGCTAGCACCGATAAGAGTTAAAGTTTAACGTATTGTCTGAAAAAAGGGAAAAAAAAGGGGGGGGGGGGGAGTGGAGATGATAGGACGGAATGACCAGTACCAGGCAGACGAAGTTTCAAATGGTTACCGGAAGTTATTTTGACCACGTGATGGCGGTGACGTCACCAGCCGACTGCTGATTGGTCTATACAGATGTGAGTTTAACAGTGCTCTGTGCCCCAATGTGGCATAATTCTCTTCTCGTCCTTTTTAGAATGAAATTTTTCGTTTTTTGAAGCCCTACTCTGGCTCTTGCCAGGGGCCGCAATAAAGCCTGGCCATAAATATGGCCTAAAGGCTGAACGCGGGATTTCTGGAACCTCTCCACAGTGATCCTCATCCACATGGTGGCACATTGTTTCATCGGGTGTTTATCGCTTGTGTGATGTCCTAGTGGGGTAGAAAGTCAATCAGTCAGACCAATGTGGCCAGAGTGGTTCTCTGGCCTGAGATCCCACATGCTTTCGTGCTGGCCTAGTGGTCAAGTATTAGAAGCCTCATCCAGGTAGGGACTAGTTTCAGGTTTAGATGATCAACATCACGGCACGAGGTAGTAACCCTCGAGTGCTCCGTTCTACTTCTAGCTCAAGCCTGAGTCTGAAGAATTTCAGCACAGGGCACGAACTTCGCAGCACTGGCAAGGATCCTGAAAATGCTTTAAGGTATATTTTAAACTCCAAATTCTGCCCGGGCAGCGCCCTCAGACTACTTTTTGTTCTATTTCCAACTGCCAGAGAATTTTTTACGTGCGCAAGAATATACACGAGAATCCGATCATACTACCTAGGGATGAAGGGAAATTACTAGAAGTCCACGGGAAAAAATCCCAGCCTTCACCGGGGTTTGAACCCGGGACCTCCAGCACTCGAAGCGGACGCCATGTCCCGAGACCACGCAGCAGGGACTGTTTCATCTAATAGGAATCACAGGCACCCGGAGCCAAAAATAGGTACTAATTCTCCTCACACCAAAGAAACTGACCATTATATTTAATCAAGTAACAGAAAGTATTGTGATTATATTTAGACTGTATGCTGGACACAACAGACTGCAGCCATATGTACAAGACATTCAAGACGGGATTCACAACGTTGCCCACGTGGACAGGCGCCACAGAACACTGGACATGTGCTACAGACATGCTCTCCACATGCACTAGAGAGATCCTAGGTTTGGCCGGTTGGCATTTTAATGAAAGCCAAGCTGTATGGAACAGTGGAAGACGTGCTTACCACCAATGACTTCATCGAGGCTTATCGACTTATAATCTGAAATCTTCTTCGTCTTCTTCGTGTTCACCAGCTGTACACCCTGGCGGAAAGTTCTGGTTGTTCGTCCACACCTGGACTGCAGTCCTGCTCCAGAACCTGAGTGTTGCGTGTGCATCAGTTTTACAGATCTGATTCACTTGAATGCAGACTTTTGGTTCCTTGCCTCTCAGGCAGATGCACTCCGACTTCAAAGGAAGCTACCAATTAGTCGACTCTTACGACATGCTTTTGGGCAGGCAGTGGGACTATTTCCTCCACAATGGGGCCCCAGATCCCACACAGTGAATAATCTGAAATGAGTGGCAGAGAGAACGAAAAGAAAAAGGAAGAAAAGGCAGCCGGTGGATATTAGCCACTTCGCGTATTAAGATCCGACGGGCCTATAAAATGTAAATTGTCCTAGTAAACTGAACGGCGAAGACGAGAAAGGAACACAAGCGGGCGAAAGTAAAATTCCTACCTGAACAGTCCGTGGCGACAGCACTAGCCATACGGCCCTAAATCCTCAGGCTTAAAGACCCCAGTGACCACATCGCAAATATGGAAAATACATGCAGTAGTAAGGAAGAATTAGGAAGAAGAAGTCGCTAAGATTCCCACAGAGAAACGAAATATGCAGGAAACACTAGAGGCAACTGTGAAACTACGTCAGAGTAATCGGAACAAATTTTCAAGGCCGTTATTTCTCACTTTAAAATATGCCAAAAGCACACACGCTAATTCCTACTCCATATAGGAGAAAATACCGAATTATTTTTCACGCAACTACACAATTTTGATTTTGGCAAGTTTGATTCAAATGCAATTTTCTCGAAACAAGGATTTAGCACTTTGTGTGATATGGCGTAGAGCCAACAAAATTACAGAAATACAAGGGCTGTAAATCAAGAAGATGTGTACGCGAATACTGTATTCTAAAGTCCACGTGTGGGTTCTAAGGCATTGTTGCGGTGTGTGTATGTGTGTGTGAGAGAGAGAGAGAGAGAGAGAGAGAGAGAGAGAGAGAGAGAGAGAGAGGGAGGGAGGGATAGATAGATAGAGAGAGGGAGGGATAGATAGATAGAGAGAGAGAGAGGGAGGGATAGATAGAGAGAGAGAGGGAGGGATAGATAGAGAGAGAGGGGGGGATAGATAGATAAAGAGAGAGAGAGTGAGGAATAGATAGAGAGAGAGAGGGAGGGATAGAGAGAGAGAAAGAGAGAGAGGGAGGGATAGATAGAGAGAGAGAGAGAGAGAGAGTGAGGGATAGATAGAGAGAGAGAGGGAGGGATAGATAGAGAGAGAGAGAGAGGGAGGGAGGGATAGATAGAGAGAGAGAGAGGGAGGGATAGATAGAGAGAGAGAGAGGGATAGATAGAGAGAGACAGAGAGAGACAGAGAGAGAAAGAGAGAGAGAGACCCACTGCATCTTACAAGCGTGTCGTGAGAGTCGACTAATCATGGGTTGACTTCGACATTGGAGTGCAGCTGCCTGAGTGTCAAGGAACCAACATCCTGCATACAAATAAGCCAGAAAAACGAATATGCAAAACTTAAGTTCTGAATCAAAACTGAAGTGCAGAAGTGGACTAAAAAAGCGAAATTTCAGCAGAGTTTACAAGAGGCGGGCGCGAAAAAGAGGGAAAAATATTCCAAAGCAATATTATTAGAAAACGAAGCGTGTGCTCTTAAAACTTCTAGAGCCGATAAATGCAGCACTGACCTTGGAGTAGTCCTTGGTGGCCGAGCTCTGAATGGTCATCTTGACGAAGTACCTCCCTGGTCGGTTGAAGACTGCGTCCAGAATCTCCACATCGAAGTCCAGGGTCTTGTACATGATCCTTGCAGACAACAGAGCCACATCTGGGTCAGTCTATGTTTTTGTCACATGTTTTTCCGTGTATCTTTTTTATGTGTTTCATTCATAACTAGTTCCCATACAACTAATTTACTGAGTATAATTACATGTATAATTTGTTTAATATAAAGCGGAACTATCTTTGAGTGGGAAAATACTTTCCGGTAGATACAGAGCAAGGACAGATGAAAATCTGTTTGCAGCGCAATCAGCCAATCATGTATCGCTTCTCAATCAAGGTGTCTTCAGTGGCTCTCCAACAAGCTCAGTCTCTCGTCCTCGATATGAACACTTTCTGGGACTGTTTTCCCCCAGCCTCTTGATGTTATCTTCCCACTTGTATCGCTGTCTACCTCTTTCTAGTTTCTTCTTCCGCCGTTCAACCCTTCCCACCACCCTTCCCAACGAAGCATAAGACCTTATCCAACTCACGCCAAGTCGTTCACTATCTCATGTAGCTCTCCCCATGTCCTACCAATGTTTTCAACTTTACCCTCTAGCTCCCTGCTCCATATGTTTTATAGTCTTCCTTTAGTCATATGCTCCTGTAGGTTCCAGTACAAAGACATTCTAGTTATATTGTTCTCAGGTTTTCTCAGCGTCTATCTTATCCAACACCAGCGTCTTTTCTTCACCTCTTGGTCCACTGGAGCTTGCTTAGTTCTCTCCCCAAGCTCTACATTAGTGGTTCCTTCATACCATTTAATGCCCTCTTTTCTGCGCAGGCACCAGTTAATGAGTGTTTGTAGTTTATTAGTAATTGCCTTAGTTGTTCTGCACTAACGGTCTAATGTCATTTGGACCTTACACTGGTCGTCTAGTTGCTCGGAACTTTGGCCCACTCCTTTACTTGCACAAACGTTAGGTAAATGACCCTTTTCCACGTCTTCAGGCGTAATGGGCATATAGGGCTGAACCTTTATTTTATAAAAAAATGTCGGCACTTGATCTGTGATGTGGTTGACATCACACCGGCCGCCTTTACTTCCCAGGACTGCACATGGTACCCACTAAGGGCTGGGTGGACTTTGAAGCCAATTAGAGTTATTTTTTTTAAAAGGCAAAAAAAAAAAAAAAAAAAAAAGCTTGCTCCGTCAGGACCGAACCCACGACCTTCCGATCCACAGGAGAGCGTCTAGCCGTTACACCACGGCGACTTCCTTACACACTAGTCCCTGAACAATACAAATAATTCAGCAATACACCTTTATCAGTTGTAGATGACAACTTCAAATTTAGGTATAGCTTGCAACTGGTATATAGCCTGATGTCTATTTCCTTTCTTTCCTCTGTACGAGTGTCGATCCTTTTCTGTGAACTAATTTCGATTTTAGATTTCTAGCTGTCAAGGGATTTTCAACGTGCGCAGCAATACACACGGGCGTCAGATCTTACTACACAGAGACCAGGAAAAATTACACGAAGACCACGTGAAAAAATCTCAGCCTTCACTGGGGCCTGAACACGATACCTTCAGCACTCGAGGCGGACGCCACGCCTGGAGACCACACAGCCCCATATAGCCTAACAACGCTGCCAGGCAAAATTTTTGAGTAAAGAATCTAACCAGAGTATTTCAGGATCCTCGCCGGTTTTACTGAGTTCGTAGCTATGGGGGACCGGTGGCGACCTTAAACGCACAATCCTATTTTTGACAAAGACGGGACTCAATGTTTAGCTTGAATGATGTCGAACGCAGAAGAAGAAGAAACTGAGTTCGTGCACTGCGCTGAGATTCTTCGTACTCAGATTTAAGTTAGAAGTAGAATGGAGCACTTATGTGTTTCTCCCTTGTGCCATGCCTTAAACCTAATTTCTATGTACTTTAACACAAATAAAACTATTCATCAACCAACACGAACTCAGGAAAATCGAACACGGATAACACGAACACAATTTTTGTCACAAAAGGGATGTTCATCATATAGTAATTCTGGCCACAAAGTGCCTGAAAGAAACTCGGCCTGTGGCCAGCTCTCATGCCTCGTGCTCCTTCATAATCGAAGGTTAGTTGCGTGTCCTTTACAGGACGTTGTAGAACCAACCCCAACAGCCCCTGACCGTTGTGTGGTTTTTTTGTGTGGCAAATTTACGTCCAGTAGTTTGGCATTGCTTCCTGGACGGTCGGCTTTCTTGATACCATTGTCGAAACCAACGCAAGGCGCATGACCTGCAGCTGGGATCGGACCCGGCATCCCGGCATTACGAAGCGTTCGCATCGACTTAGCCACAGAGCTGACTCCTGGCACAGTACCTTCTGCTATTATGATTTTTTTTTCCAGTTTGCCGTCGAGCTTGATATGGCCAAAATGTTTTATATTCCAAGGCAAAATGCTGTTTAATGGCCAATCATCCTTTATGTTCAGATGTTTTCAGATGTCAATATTTCTTTCTTCTTTGTGCACGGCATTCTGAATATCTTTTTGCATTATTTCAACTGAAAGACTCCCGTGTTCTACCTAAAGGACTGGGAGCTATGACTCACATGCAATTGCTACTGCAAGGAAGATACAAACTATCAAAATCTTGAGTTTGATTATTTCGCTGGCGCTCAACCATAGACTTTATAATGACTTTCAGTAACAACATGTATTCTACCTGTCAGCTTCTCGACTGTTGCCCATGGCCGGGGTGGAAACATCTTCTGAGAGACCGAGTCTGTTGGATTTGAGTTCAGGGTATGGAAGTCTTGGGCTGGCCATTCTCTTGGAGTGTGTTTTCCTTGTCACTCTCACTGAGGTTCTATTTTCTCTTCGTGTATTTCAGACCAGAAATCCACACATCAGCGATAAAAGATGGCTAGAGAAAGAACATACACGATATATTCAGGTTTATAATATAAACAAGGATGGTATTATACAGAATACCAGGATTGGCAAGACCAGTTGCTGAGTATTATATAAATCAACGACAAATATCTTCCCTTAAAAGAATGGATGCGGAATCTTTTCGGAAATTAACATGATTCCCTAGCAAAGAAGAATCATGTGCATGTTGGCAGGGTTAGCATATACAGATGACGTGGAACTAACAGATATACTGTGATACCTTGGCGTACGAACCCCACTACGCACAAACTTTTCGAGATCCGAACTTTTTTCATATCCCATTTTGACCTCTACTTACAAACTTTAATCGAAGATAGAGCCGTGATGCACTGCACACGCGCGAGGGTTAGTACACCGTTGGATTTATCTGGAGCAGGACGCAACAAGTGGTGTGCGCGACGTATGCTGCATTTACATGTTAAATTGTTGTATCGTAAATCTATTTCTGTATTTATGTAATCAGACAATACAATTAGAGTATTTACTTGCAGGAGGCGTTAGGAACAAAGAATTCAAAATATTAATTATAAATCGCGTATCATTTCCAACAGGTTGTCAAAGAATTGAAGAGAGAAATTACAATAAAAATAAAGAGATGATCATCATCCAGCGCCTTGTCACATATCTCGTTTTGTGTGTGTGTTCTGGACCAATTCTACTGATGATACTTGTTCATGCCACTATTTTAAGCCTTCCGTCATCATTTCTCTTGGTCTGCCTCTGCCTCTTCTATCAGTGATCTTTCCAGTCGCCACGATATTTTCCAGTGCTCCTTTTCTTATCACCCACCACAACAAGGGTAGTAATACACTTATTCGTGCAGTATTGTAGACAAAGATGGATGAGAACATACTCACACTACACACACACACACACTACACACACACACATTTGTGATCTCTTTCTCTTCCTACCTTCCATTCAGTCAACACTGTTCATGAAACCCTATTTTCACGAATCCTGTCCAATACCTGTATCACTCATATCCCCTTGGTACACATATTTATATCGTAGTAGAGACCGACCTCGACATCATCTAGCCATCTGTGACTTACAGCTGAGGATGTACTTAGGGATTCCACCATCGTCAATTATCCAGGTGTAGCCCAACCACATAAGCCTTCGAATACTGAACATTGCCATCACACCAAGATGCCAACTCTGTCCAAAAGCTTTGTGTTTGTGATCCTGTTAGCCACCTAGTGTCAAGAATTCTTCGCGTGAAAGGAGTTCCTCTATTTCTCCTGGTACAAATAGGCCGGCAAAAATTTTACTGTCGTTCAGGACGGTGCACCAGACTGATATCTAACTCTAATGTCTGAGCAGTGGGGGGCGTAGTTAGGTAGGTACCTCATCGTAATCTTAAGTGGTTTTGTGAATTTTTGTTTGTATATGTTTCATTGCACATTCTTGTTTGTATGTGTATCATTGCCCATTCTCGTTTGTATATGTATCATTGCCCATTCTTGTTTGTATTTGTATCATTGCCCATTATTGTTTGCATGTGTATCATTGTCCATTCTTGTTTGTATATGTATCATTGCCCAATCTCCTTTGTATCTGTATTATTGCACATTCATGTTTGCATATGTATCATTGCCCATTTTTGTTTGTATATGTATCATTGTCCATTCTTGTTTGTATATGGATCATTGCCCATTCTTGTTTGTATATGAATACATTGCCCATTTTTGTTCGTATATGTGCAATTGCCCATACTTGATTGTATGTGTATCATTGCCTATTCTTGTTTGTATATGTATAATTGCCCATTCTTGTTTGTATATTTATCATTGCCTATTCTTGTTTGTATATGTACCATTGCCTATTCTTGTTTGTATATGTACCATTGCCTATTCTTGTTTGTATATTTATCATAGCCCATTTTTTTGTATATGTATCATTGCCCATTCCTGTTTGTATATGTATCATTGCCCATTCTTGTTTGTATATGTATCATTGCCTATTCTTGTTTGTATATGTATCATTGCCCATTCTTGTTTGTATATGTATCATTGCCCATTCTTGTTTGTATATGTATCATTGCCCATTCTTGTTTGTATATGTATCGTTGCCCATTCTTGTTTGTATATGTATCATTGCCCATTCTTGTTTGTATATGTACCTGTCACATATCGCTCCTGTCACGTG